AAGGGCTAGTTTGTCCAGGTCAGACTGTAGGCCTAAGGTCCTTGCATCTTTCTCTGACGTAATTATCAGATATATGATGGTATCATCCTCAAACAGTCTGACCGTGGAGTTCAAGCCAATTGGCATGTCATTAAGGACTTCCCACCCTTCGTAATACACATGTTTTTCTTGTCGTATTTTCGTGTCGTCATTTCCGTATTGTGTATCGGGCATTCCATTACGTATATCGTAGTGTAAATTATAGGAACACCGGGTAAACAACAGTACACGTGCGTGCAATTTTTCGGTATTTTTTACAAAAAATCCCAAGATTATCGGAATGCTTAGATTTTCATAAAATCATCTCTATTGACATAACCATTATGTGAAACTTTCATTGAATTCTGCTGGCTAATTGCGAGAGGGTGGAGCCACCTTAATATAAAATAGGAACAGACTAGGCCCAAGTACAGATCCCTTGGGGACGCCGGATAAAACTGGTACTCAGATTTGATGCCTTCTAAGAAGTTTGAGATCCAGGAAGTAGTTTTATCATCTATACCATAATGACTGAGTTTGTTGGTAACAAGAGAGTGGCTGACCTTATCAAATGCGGATTTCTTTGAAACCCAGGAGGCTAAATAATCATGATATGTTGTTATGTTTCCATAAAAAGAATTTTGATTCGACAATTTTTGCAAAAGTTATTGCCCTTTGTTTATTTCAGTATTTGAGTTTTGTCCGGCTATCTTCTTCTACATTTTTCAACGGATCTCTTTGAAACTTAGTATACATTATAATCATGATATGAAGTTGTTTCGCCCCTAAACGAATTTTGATTCGACGATTGTTGCAAAAGTTATTGCCCTTTGTTCATTTCAGTATTTGAATTTTTTTTCCAGAGATTTTCTCCTACATCTTTTTATAGCATGTCAGCTAACCACTCTTAGAATGATGCAGATCTTATTTCAATGTAAGAAGGTATATGACACTATATGGCATTCAACGGGCGTATATTGTTCTGCCCCGTGGTACTCTTGTTTTTATATATTATTGCGTCGTCCGGGACAGAGGATGCCGGGTATTAATATTAGTACTAAGTTCAATCACACATTGACCCGTATTCATGCAACCATTCACATGCTCAAGCATGGATTTTGTGCTCAAGCCGAATTTCTTGTGCCACTTATAAATTATTTTAAAAATCTTATTTTGTTAAAGTTTTGGACAAAAATTGAAGAGACTTATAGCCGAATACTGTTTTCAATATTTTAATTGATATGGGTCACAGCACACATAATGCTGTGACCCATATATCAGCATAGTATTTGGTATATTTTAGACATTTGTAACGAATTGATCCCCTGTGGTTCAAGGTGGGAAGTTGAGGGGGATTCGAGATTCATTTTTAAATGATAAGACGGCAGGCTAATTGCTGGAAGTTTGTAATGTGTTAAGGAAAATACATTGCCATGCTTTTTAAATGCACAAAATGTGTTTCGACGTGTTGAAAAAAAATTCTTTTAACAAGTTATTTCATCAGTTTTGTCTCTTCTATTTAATTAAAAACAACTAAACTTTCAATAAATGACAAACATCAAGCATTCCATTAAGTCCCCTTTACATGTACAATGTCTTTTACCATTAACGTTATTATTTCTAATATTTGTTCTACCCTTTAATTGTATCTGTATTTAAAGAAGGCGTTACTTGCACTTATTGTTTGTAAACAAATGATACATGATAAATGCATACTTGCCAACCTTTTAATTTTGTTAATGGGGGAGAAGCCGTGTGCTCAAAATCAAATATTACAAAACATGAATAATTATAAAAGATGTGTGTAAAAAAGTGTCGATCGTCTTTTTAGTTGTTTTTCGTGACAATTTATGATGTATAATTGCCTGCATTTCAAGTATTGAACTCAGTTCATCTGCATTCACTGCCTGACTATTCAGTAATTCACATTTTACTAGGAGGCCCAATGACCTACAATTTAAATGAAATTGATTTAGAAGAATTTAGACTAGAATCCGTATATGCGATAAAAAGAATGTTTGACTTATATACATAATAATAATTATTATAATAATATCTTACAAATATTTGCCTTTTTAATATAAGGAAAATGTAAAAAAAAAATCGAATATAGGCAAGGTATTATTACTATTTTTTTTTTACTGGCTACATAAACCAGTATTATATCACTGATATTTAACAATATGTATGTACGTTTGTGAACTTGTTTGACTGTCACGATTGTTGTCATTTTGTAAATAATGTATTATTCATGTACTATCATTGTATCATGCTCTCCAATTTGGAGGAAATAAAGATGATATATTGAGTATCAGAATAGTTAAGCAAGTTTACTGGCTGAAAATGGTCAATTCTAGCATGGACTTAGATAGCAATCTAATTCCATGGTCTGACCTCTGAGTCGAAAGGTGTTAAAGGGACGTACCTCACGAGATCTAGAAAAATAAGGTACATGTCGATATGATTCGTCATTTCACCAAGAAATTAGACTAGACCTAGGTCCATGACTTTGACTAATTTTTATATGTTTCACTTTTCGAAACGTGTGAAATAATCAGTTCTTAAATATGATCACGAAAAATTGAATAACTGATTACATGTAACGTTTTAGTCAATTTTCAACAACATAATATAATCCATTTAGATATCTGGTCACAAACTTTAATTATACTATAAACCACTGATATACCTGGTCACAATCACTAATTATAGTTCACTGAGTTACATGTACCTAGTCACGAACAGTAACAGACGCACTACCTATGGACAACTGAGATACCTGATCATAAAAACATATAGTTCACTGATATACCTGGACACAAAAACTTACTATAGACCACTGCTATACCTGGTTACAAATTCTTACTATAGACCACTGAGATACCTGTGTACAAACACTTATCATAGACCATTGTCAGAGATACCTGGTCCCAAACACCTATATAAGACTATTGACGCAACACTTCCTCAGAGATCAAGTCCAGTCAAGATTTTTTTTTTAAATATCACGTTTAAAACGTAATAAATGTTACGTTATTGCAAGACAAATGAATGTCAATGGTTCAGGTTGTTTTGATGATATGTGCCCATTATGTGGATTATCGTCTATATGTTAGCAATAATTATGATATATCCTGAATATATTTTGTGTTAAAAAAGGTCTTCCCTTTTTCCAAAATGACATTTCCATGTCCCTATCTTATGTTTAGCAAAACTTATTAATTAAAATACTATTTACTTCAACTTATGTACCGTCTTTAATTTGCAGGTGTTGGCGGTGTTGGCGTTACCAGTGTTGAAGCTACCAGCGTATGTGATGGCAGTGACCGTGATTTGTTTAAATGCATCAACAAGTAGAGAGGACATATATAGTCAGTTGACCAGATCATTGGTGCAATCTGCAGACTACATTTATCCAAAGACAGAGATGTATGGGAAAAAGCGGAGTTTTCAGCCTTCCTGGATAGTCACATTTCCATGGCTTGTGTACTCTCCAGCATGTGATGGTATCTTTTCCAAGCATTGTGGGTTTTTCGCCAAACTGAAGGGATCTCTTGTAGGATCATTCATAAAAATACCTGTCAGGAATTGGACCAAGGCCCTAGGAAAGTGCAAGGCACACGACAAGATGAGCCGCCACCAGCCAGACATCATTGAAAATGAGCGAGGATTTCCTGTCAACATACCGAAACCCCACAACAGCTGTTGATGTCAGAGGCCAGTCAGCCGTAGCTCAACGGATTGCAACAAACAGACAGATCCTTAAGTCGATAGCCTCCACTGTCCTGTTTTGTGGGGGACAAAACATAGCTCTACGTGGCCAGCGTGACGATGCAACAAACCAAGTTTCTACAAAAAGAGGCAACTTCTGAGAATTACTGAGGTTTAGCATCGAAGCAGGGAACACCTTACTTGACACACACCTGAAGACAGTCAGCAGCAGAGCAACTTACATCTCAAAAACAGTTCAGAATCAACGGATTGCCACCATTGGAGACCAGATCAGTGACACTATCCTGGATGAAGTGAAAAAGGCCAAGTTCCTCTCTATTCTCGCAGACGAGGTCACGGACGTGTCAAACTGGGAACAACTGTCTTTAGTGGTGCGATATGTTGACATGAACAATGCTATCAGGGAGCTGTTTCTGTGCTTCCTGGATTGTGAGTGCTTTACAGGCGAGGCTCTTACAAAGAAGATCTGAAACACCCTTCAGGACTTGGATCTTCCAATTGAGAACTTGAGAGGCCTGGGCTACGATGATGGATCTAACATGGCTGAACATGTGAAGGGTGTGCAAGGACGCATCAAGGCCATCAACGACAAGGCAATCTACGTCCACTGTGCAGCACATTGTCTCATCCTGAGCATTGCGAAGGCGTGCCAGATACCAGTGATGAGGAACATGCTAGGAACCTTGAAAGAAATTTGTTTCTTCAATTCATCTCAGAAGCACCAGAGGCAGCGGGAGAAGACTATCCACCTTGAGGCTCCACTGGAGAGGAAGACAAAGCTGGTAGTCTTATGCAAGACTCGATGGATCGTGCGACATGTAGCCATGAAAGCATTTAGTGAACTCTACCAGGTCATCGTGAGTTGTCTGGAAGACATGGTGGACATCAGCAGATGTGTGACTCTGAAACCCTGGTGAAAACGAGAGGATTCTTAGCTGAACTTTGAGTTCCTTGTTGCCTTCATTGTGATGAAAAACTGCCTCCAGGTGAAGGGATGCCTTCAAGATGTGCGTAAGGATGACGAGTCCTACTTCGAGGTGTGGTACCAGGAGGCCAAGTACCTAGCTGAGCGCCTTGATGTGGAGCAGATAATTCCAAGAGTGTGCAAGCGCCAAACCATGAGAAGTAACACACCTGCAACAACTGTTCCCGAGTACTACAGACGAACCATCCTGATTCCCTTCCTCGACAACATCACGAGTGAACTGGATATCCGCTTTTCCGCACACAGCTAACTCATTGTGGATGGGATGAAGCTCACACCTAATGTCGTCTCTGAGCAGCCAACTGGAGCATTGCCATCAGGAGTTCAGTCGCTCGCTGATCGCTACAGTGAGGATCTACCATCTCCAGACAGTCTACTATGTGAATACCACAGATGGTGGAGGAAATGGCAGGCCAATGGTGAGACAGTTCCTCCAGCAACTATCCGGGACGCCCTCCAGTCATGTGAGGCTGGATTTTATCCTAACCTCAACATTCTGCTGAGGATGTTGTGCACTGTGCCAGTCACTACAGCGAAATGCGAGAGATCCATCAGCACCATTCGTCGGCTAAAAACCTACCTGCACTCAACAATGAAAAGCGAAAGACTGAATGGACTAGCACTGATGACGATCCATTATGGAATCAGCGTAGACATTGGTGCTGTTGTGAGTGACTTTGCCTCCAGTCTTCCCACTCGCATGAAATTTGACAGTGTGGACTTTCTCCGGAAAAGTTAGATTTTATTTTGTGATTACCATATGCATGGACTGGCCATCTGATCCACATTCATTGATGAACATTTGTGAAAAATGGACATGAATTGAGATTTGTTTGTGTGGAAAATTGATAATTAACTTTAACCATCAGAGATATGTAGTTATGACATACTTGATATGTATCTTTATTGAGCTTATATGTATATCAGTATATCATTACTGAGGACTTTTGAAAGAGTAATTATTGAGGTCTTGTGATCTGTATTTAATTGATGTATGTGTCAAGTATTTATTGAGGTCTTGTTAAAATATATATTTATTGTTGTCTTGTGTAGAGTATTTTTTGAGGTCTTTATTTTTTTTATATATTTATTAGTGTCATAAGTGAGAGTATATAGAGGTCTTGTTAAAATATTTATTGTTGTCTTGTGTAGTGCTTTTGTTGAGGTCTTTTAAAAATATTTATTGTTGTCTTGTGTAGAGTGTTTTTATTGAGGTCTTGTTAAAACATCTATTGATGTCCTGTGGTACAGTATACAGTTAGAGTATGGGGTTGAGGGATATAGCAAGTTTCTGGTGTCCCGAGACCAGGTCTATTTCCCGAGGCGTTTTATTATACCGATACACACTGGAGAGATATTTGTAAATCATAAGCTGTATAGCTTCACGTCCCAAATACCCTTTTGATGGCAATGGAGCCAAATGCTTACGAGCTCAGCAGCAAGCTCCGCCCACCTCGCGCGTCACTGCCGAGTTCGGTAACAAGCTCCGAGTGTAGGTGTGTTTTAGTTCACAGACTAACACACAGGACTAAAACACACTCAGGCAAAAGTGGGGATATAATCGATTTAACCAATTACTTTTATATAGAGTAAATAAAGTAGAGGTGTAATTATATTTTTTGAGGTCTTGTTAAAATATTCATTGTTTTGTGTAGAGTATTTATTGAATTCTTGTTAAAATATTTATTGTTGTCTTGTGTAGAGTGTTTTTATTGAGGTCTTGTTAAAACATCTATTTATGTCCTGTGATACAGTATTTATTGAGGTCTTGTTAAAATATTCATTGTTTTGTGTAGAGCATGTTAAAGTATTTATTTATGTCATGTGTGAGAGTATATGTTATACATTGAGATGTTGTGAGTCTGACTGAAAGTAATTAAATGAGATCTTGTGAGAGTATTTATTGAGGTCTTATGATAGAGTGTTTATACTATTGTATTATTTGGTGTTAAGAGTGTGCATATGTGAAAATGTTTGAGGATACATAAATGAATGTTGGTTTGTGTATGTGTGAATGACATGCGGATGTTAGTGGGTGTGTGTGAGTGAAAGAATAATGTGTACATTTTCTTTTTTTTTTTAAATTCATCCTTGATTTATTAAAACATTCTGAATGTCAATTACTAGTTTGGTTTTTATTTGATGATTATATGTACAATTGATGTGTAGCCACTAAGAACTTGAAGCATACTAAAGCAATGTTTTAAGATAAGCATTAATTACATACATATTTTATTTTATGTTTATTACTGTAGCATCTTTGTATAAACTTCTAGAATCCTTCAGGTAATTTTGGTACTGTCAATTTTGATGTAAAATTCATATAAAACAGACAAATTTGATAAGATGTGAAGGCAGATTTTCAGGCAAAACTCTCAAACCAAAACCTTCGGTGTTTACATATTTGAGTTGTTGGTTTGTAAACAACTTAAAGAACGAGCACCGCTTTAATTAATTAAATTGTGTTATTTGAAAATTCATAGCCTTACGCTGGGGTCTCACGTTTCCTCCTGGGGAGGGAGTACACTTTACTATAGTTTAATTGTGAATAATATGGTCATCAGCCCCCAGGGGCCTGAGGAGTGGGGCCAAAAAGAGTTGAATTGACTGAAATTTCAAAAATCTTCTCAAGACCCAAATATGGGAGAATCAAATACTTTTCATAGTTGGAAGGGTTTTAAGGTGTTTTACCAAAATTGTAAATTGCATGACCCTGGGGTCTCACGTTTCCTCCTGGGGAGGGGGTAAAGTTTACCATAGTTTATATAGGGAAAATCCCATTTTGGACCAACATTTGTTTAAGTTCCATTGGAATTCTTTCAAACTTGGTCAGAATCATCCTTAGTAGATGAGTCTACAAAAGGAATATAAACCAATATTTCAAAAATCTTCTCGAGACCCAAAGATGGTAGAATCAAATACTTTTCATAGTTGGAAGGGTTTTAAGGTGTTTTACCAAAATTGTGAGTTTCATGACCCTGGGGTCTCACGTTTCCTCCTGGGGAGGGGGTAAAGTTTACCATAGTTTATATAGGGAAAATCCCATTTTGGACCAACATTTGTTTAATTCCCATTGGAATTCTTTCAAACTTGGTCAGAATCATCCTTGGTAGATGAGTCTCCAAAAGGAAAATTAACCAATATTTCAAAAATCTTCTCGAGACCCAAATATGGTAGAATCACATACTTTTCATAGTTGGAAGGGTGTTAAGGTGTTTTACCAAAATTGTGAGCTTCATGACCCTGGGGTCTCACGTTTCCTCCTGGGGAGGGGGTAAACTTTACTATAGTTTAATTGTGAATAATATGGTCATCAGCACCCAGGGGCCTGAGGGGTGGGGCCAAAAAGGGTTGAATTGACTGGAATTTCAAAAATCTTCTCAAGACCCAGATATGGTAATATCAAATACTCTTCATAGATGGAAGGGTTTTGAGGTGTTTTACTAAAGTTGTGAATTGCATGACCCTCGGGTCTCAAGTTTCCTACTGGGGAGGGGATAAACTTTACTATAGTTTAATTGTGAATAATATGGTCATCAGCCCCCAGGGGTCTGAGGAGTGGGGCCAAAAAGAGTTGAATTGCCTGAAATTTCATAAATTTTCTCAGGACCCAGATATGGTAATATCAAATACTCTTCATAGATGGAAGGGTTTTGAGGTGTTTTACTAAAGTTGTGAATTGCATGACCCTCGGGTCTCAAGTTTCCCCCTGGGGAGGTGATAAACTTTACTATAGTTTAATTGTGAATGATATGGTCCTCAGCCCCCAGGGGCCTGAGGGGTGGGGCCAAAAAGGGTTGAATTGACTGGAATTTCAAAAATCTTCTCGAGACCCAAAGATGGTAGAATCAAATTCTCTTCATAGATGGAAGGGTCTTTAGGTGCTTTACCAAAATTGTGGGTTTCATGACCCTGGGGTCTCAAGTTTCCTCCTGGGGAGGGGGTAAAGTTTACCATAGTTTATATAGGGAAAATCCCATTTTGGACCAACATGTGTTTAATTTCCATTGGAATTCTTTCAAACTTGGTCAGAATCATCCTTAGTAGATGAGTCTACAAAAGGAAAATTAACCAATATTTCAAAAGTCTTTAGGTGCTTTACCAAAATTGTGAGTTTCATGACCCTGGGGTCTCACGTTTCCTCCTGGGGAGGGGGTAAAGTTTACCATAGTTTATATAGGGAAAATCCCATTTTGGACCAACATTTGTTTAATTTCCATTGGAATTCTTTCCAACTTGGTTAGCATAATCAGCATTGGATAGCTGTTTGATGGTATGTATATATCAGCCTTAACTGACCCCCAGGGGCTGATGGGCGAGGCCAAAAAGAGTTGAATTGACTGAAATTTCAAAAATCTTCTCAAGACCCAGATATGGTAGAATCAAATACTCTTCATAGATGGAAGGGTCTTTAGGTGCTTTACCAAAATTGTGAGCTTCATGACCCTGGGGTCTCACGTTTCCTCCTGGGAAGGGAGTACACTTGACTATAGTTTAATTGTGAATGATATAGTCCCCAGCCCCCAGGGGCCTGAGGGGTGGGCCCAAAAAGGGTCAAATTGACTAAAATTTCAAAAATCTTCTTTTCAAGATCCAGATATGGTAGAATCAAATACTCTTCATAGATGGAAGGGTCTTAAGGTGCTTTACCAAATTTCAGCTGACTGACAGAACCACTTTGCACATAGTACAAATACTAACCAGATATTTCACACTACTTTTGCATTACATGAAGTTCAAGTTACCTTTGTTACAAAATGATTTCTTTTTCATTTGGCAACATCGATAACATCAGTTTTTACATAACTCAGGTGACCTTTAAGGCCCATGGGCCTCTTGTATAAATATATGTACCCTTATTAATTTGTTCTTTACTGCATTCATACAACAACAGGACATTCGAACATCTTGGTAGGCAGTGAGTATTACATTTATAATTTCATTGATTTGTGAACTTAAGCTAGAAAACGGATTTTTTAAAAATTTTAGTTATCAAAGTCTTTGTGTTGACCTCTTGTGAATGCCTTTTGTACGTCATAGTAACCTTTAAATAACTTCAGCTTATTTTTGAAGGAAAGTTCCATGGTCAAATGCAAGCCAAATTGATGAATTACATGTGGATCTAATCTGCCCCCCTGGGGTTCGAGCCCTAAAGAGGTCAAATTAACTAAATTTTCAACAGTCTTCTTATTCAGGCACAGAGATGCTAAAATCAAATACTCTTCATAGATGGAAAGGTCCTGTAGACTTATTTAATAACAAATGTAAGAAAAATGAATTTCTATGCATTTTTAGGTCACCTGAGCTTTGCTCAAGTGACCTATTCTAATCGCTTTCCGTCCGTCGTCGTGCGTCGTCCGTCGCGTGCGTCTTGCGTAAACTTTTTAAATTTTCAACTTCTTCTCAAGAACCAGTGGTTGGATTTGTTTCAAACTTGGTCAGAATCATCCTTGGTAGATGAGTCTACAAAAGGAAAATTAACCAATATTTCAAAAATCTTCTTCTCTAGATTCAGAGGTTCTTCATTCAATTTAAGTGCATAAAAAGAAATCATCAGGGGCTTTATTTAAATCATCAATTTCATGACCCCCGGGCTATCCATTCTCCCTTGGGGAGGGGGTAAAGTTTACCATAGTTTATATAGGGAAATAACACTTTTGGGTATATTTCATCCATTTTCAGCAGAAAATTACTCAAAGTTAGTCAGAATCATCTTTGGTGAATGAGGGTATAGCGTAT